ATCGGCAGAAAAAGTGTGTGTGTGTGGGGGGAAGGGGGGGGGACTAAAAAATGGCGGAAAATTGGAAGCACTGAACGTTAGAACTATAGAACGAAGACACTTCCTTTTTTTCCGGACCCGAGTCCGAATAAAATTTTTTCATATTCGGACTCGAGTCCGAATAAGAATTTTTTTTATTCGGACTCGAGTCCGAATATGAAAAAATGTTATTCTGACTCGAGTCCGAATAACGACGGCCTATTTAATTATATAGTCTCTGGTGGCACCAGTAAACTCCTTGGGTGGCACTGAGACTACATGCCTGGTTGCCGGTTACGTAGATATCTGAGGCTACATGCCCGGTTACTGTGTACATGACACTGAGACTACGTGCCCGGTTGCCGGTTACCGTGCACATAGACACAAAGGCTAGGTGCCCGGTTGGTGATCTTATACTTTAGCACGTTAAATTCTTCAACTGAAGACTTCAGAAACGAGCGACCACTATCAGATCTGGATCAAAATTCTATGTCATCAAGATTAAATACTCAATGGCTTCCAAAATCACGATGGAAGACTGAAAACCACTGTTGTACGATCTGTTCATGACAAAATTATGGTAGTTTGCACATTTTTAGACCCAGTTCAAAGTTTTGAAGGTCTGAGTCTGAGTCGGGGATTAGATATCTAATCTAGATATATAGATCTAGATCTAGAATCTAGTAGACTTTGGGAATTTAACGTGCTAAAGTATAAGATCACCGCCCGGTTACCGTGTACATAGAATCTAGATCTAGAAGCGAAAAAGCACGGAAAATTTTACCCAAAGCTGCACCTTGTCAACATAATTTTTGTCGTTTGGTAGTTTTTCCATCAAGTTCGTCGTTTCCTTCTGAGGAACTGAGGAACTTGATCTAGAAAGAAATCTAGGCCTATTTATTCTAGTTACTTCCCTTTGGCAATCGAACCGGTATTTGTTTATATTTTGTTTGATTGCAGTCCAAGCGGCTCAAAATATATTTTTATCTTTCCAGATTCACTAACATTTTGACAGTGATGGCGGTCATTTTGTATAGACAAATAAATTGTTATCTTTAAGCTTGCTAAATTACAAAATACTCAAATTTACTCAAGCCAGTTAATCTAGATGAATTCGTGTTTCAACATAGAAGGGCATTTTCATCAAATCAGGGAAGATAAGGGGACTTAGGTACATTTTCAATAAGCAACTGTTTTAGTAAGTCGTGTATGTAATTTTTTGCGGGTTTTTAAAAATGAAATGCCATTTATTTTTCTGGTCGCGACAAAAAAAAATCTGCAAAACAACTGGTCTAGATCTTGATCTAGGCTAGCCTAGTAGTAGAATAATATAGAGTATAGAGTATTATAGAGAGTAGAGAGAGCAGCTGCTGAGACTGAGACCGAAAGTAGACTACATTTCTCGAGATTCCAGGTCTAGATTTCTAGATCTAGGGGTGTTTCTTTCGCTTGGCACTTGGTTATCAGCTCAATTAACTTTTCCCCTTGACTCATAGATCTACATCTAGATAGGTAAGTTATCTTCTCTGGCAAGCCCCCCTGAAACCCCCCTACTCTTGGGGCTGGGGCCAAAACCCGTGAATAACAATTGCGGGGTGGGAACTACCGAAAAAGCGCCGAGACGGTATTGACCTCTTGATCAACTAGATTCTATATCTAGATCTACATCTAGATATATCTAGATCTAGATCTAGATTCTAGTCTAGATCTAGATCTAATCTAGAATCTAGATTTTTAGTAGTCTAGGCCTAGATCTAGATCTAGATCTAGAGTCTTGATTTCTAGATCTAGAATCTAGATGTCTAGATCTAGATCTAGATCTAGATCTAGATTTAGATCTAGATTTTCGGCACTACTTGGTTGGATATATGGTGGTCCCGATTTGTGTAGGCCTAGAAATAGATCTAGATCTACTGAAATATCGATACTGATTTAAATAGTCAGTATCAATGTTGTATGTTTTATCAGTAGCCTAGACAAAGATAGTAAATAACAAGATGGGCCACTCAGCCAAAAAAGTGTCCGCAGGAAGTATGCTCTTTGCTTCAGATGGCGCTGCAGTCTGTTTTGAAGCTCTCTTTCGTTTTTCCAGAAGAAGAATAGGAATAGCACCTCCTTGCGTGCGCAGATCGACTGCTGTTCATCAGCAGTTCGGGTTCGTTCAGTACGGAGTTTTAGTTTTTAAAAATTTTAATGACCTCTCACCTTTCATTCTTAAGTCAAATTAAACGAAGAAAACAATCAACCTTTCCTCCGGAAGAGGTTTTTTGTCAGCGTAACCATTTTAAAAAAGCGTTCTTCCGAAATTAATTCAAAAACTTGATAGTTTCACTTTGATTTTTTAAACTCAAGTAGGATAACTCTGTTCGCTAAAGGTGCGCTTTTGCAAAGAGGGCGCCACCGAATTTTGAGGACACTTTTTTAATTGGCTCAAAGAGAAGTGGCCCCTCTTGTTATGTAGACTCTTTGCCCTAGATCAAAATCTAGCCTACAAAATGAGCTGTAAAATTTCACTTTTGTTTTACAGAAGGCGGGGGGGGGGGTTGCCTCCCTGACTTAAAAAAAAAAACCAAGGGGTGTTTCAGGGGGGCATGCCCCCCCTGAATTTGACCACGATTTGATGTTTTGCAATAAGGTTTGAAAGGCTATCTCTCCATATCGGCACGCAAATCAAAAAGTAATCGTTTAGACTTAAAACCAGAAGTAATCGTCATTGGGGTCAAAACTAGATTCTAGAATTTCCCTGTCACAAAAGTCGGGACCACCATATCCAAGTAGTGCCAGATTTTCTATACCATAACCGGAGTGTCCACGTACACGGTAACCGGGCACCTAGATCTAGATCTAGACTCAGTATCTACGTCCGAAGTGGCTAGACTGCCAGTCTAGCCGTACTTAGATCTAGGTTTGGCCAACTTCATTGCAGTGGTAGCAAACAATGTCAGCACGATGACTACAAAACTGTGGTCCACCACATCGATATCAAGAGCCTTTCAATGCCCTCACGCGTTGACTGTGGCTTCCCATTATATTTGCCATGGCTCCGCCTGCCGCCGCAACGCTGACCGTTCCAGTCTTGCTTGCTGTAAGGATTCTAGCTCTTATTACCTCTGACAGTTCAACTTCGAAGACCCGGCTCATCTGTTGGAGCTCACGCGATATCGGGTCAGGGAATCCTTTTACAAAGGATTTATAACCCAACCAGCCTATCCAGTTCGCTGCCTGAAAATCCAGCCAACCCTCCCAACCTCCTTATTTCGTTCACATCAACATTCTCACTGTCCCACCTCCTCTGTGTCAACTTACTGAACCCAATAAATGAGCTGTCTGTGAATGCTCTAGAAGACGCTTTTCAATTGTCTGATTGTGATCTTTCGAGCTCACTAAACTGTAAGTACAATGCCAGTCCATTACCTTCCAGGAACAGCAGTACAAATTTCGCAAGATCCAGAATGTTCTTCAAACCCGCGACGAGTTTAACCTTTGCCAACCAAGCCACAACATCACTATTGCCACTGAATGGCTTGATCATGTCCGTTGTTATTTTCGATGCCATCACTAGCACTTAAATGGCTCTAGAAAGAGCACCTCGCCAAAATCATCATCATCATTGCCTTTCTCACCCTGCACCAGGGTATACGCTGCGGACAAACACCTTCCACCTTTCTCTATCCTGGGCTAGCCTCTTGATATTATTCCATGTCTTCCCACTTTTTTGTACTTCGATTTCTGTGATTCTTCTCCAGGTTCCACGCAGTCTTCCCCTTGATCTCTTACCCTGTGGGTTCCTATCCAAGACTTTCTTTCTTATGCAGCTGCCTGACTTCCTGACTTCCTGACTTCCTGAGAGTATGTCCATTCCATCGCCACCTCCTTCTTCCTACCTCATCTCTGACTGGGATCTGTCTTGTTTTCCTTAACACTTCCATATTGGTGACCCTGTCTGTCCTTCTGATCCTCAGTAACTTTCTTAGACACCTGTTCAAGAAAACCTGGATCCTCTTTATGCAAGTCAGTGATGCGTTCCATGTCTCACATCCATACAGCAGGGCCAACTTCACATTTGAATTAAAAATCCTCAGCTTTGTTCGAAGTGAGATATCTCTGGTCTTCCAAATCCTATCCAAAGATATGAAAGCAGCCTGTGCTTTTCCAATGCGGGACTTTATTTCAGCACCTGTTCTTCCCTCTCTGTCAATTATATTTCCAAGATAGCAGAAGGATTCAACGTTTTCTAGTGCCTTTCTCTCCGAAATAGCTTGTGGTTTAACTATACACACCTACCTCTTGTGGCGATCCGACTTGCTCTGTCGTTATGGTTGACAATTCTCTTGCGCCTCGACTGCAACTCACGCTCACACTCTTCCACAGTCCGTGGCTCACGCCTCGGCCTGCCCTTGCTCTCTTCTTCAATGTCAAATAGTACATGTTGAAATTACCGGTTTCCCTTGTTCATGTATGTTTATTCCAGCCTTGCGAAAGAAATATTCAATAAAGCATGGATTTGGAAAATATGCTGTATAGATATGTGGTGTTGTTAGTGAGAAATCAGCTATTTCAGTGAGGAATGCAGTACAACAAACTGACTTTCTAGTAACTCTGAAAATGTACCTTAAATGGCATGCTGATAGTGAAGGGGTTACTTTGCTCTGGTGACTGCCTTGGAATTTGGTAAAATGAAATTTTAAATCACAGTGTATGTGTTTTATAATGTATCTCTTTTTATTGAAATGCAGTTCTGAACTTAAAAAGCTGTTTGTATTTCTTTTAAAAACAAACAAACAAACAAAAATCCCCCCAAAAAAACAATTAGCATGCACTTTTGTACATGGTATTTCTTCTTGGCAGGTGCTATTTGAAACGCCGCATTTTGAATAGCTCCTGTGCTGTTTGAACCGCTGCAGTCTGATTAGGTCCCATGCTAATTGAAAAGCCGGTACTAGTAGCCATCGTTTCTACATAAATAATAATGTAGGTCTGCCTGAATTGTGGAAGCTTTCTCAGTTTCTTGATAAACCTCCTAGGATTTGTCTCCTTTTCTGATGACGTTGTCTTATTCCGCTCAAAATTTGGTAGATCTAGATCTAACAATTGTTTCTGACATTGTTTGCACAAAAGTAGTCTTGTTCCACTCTCACAATCATAATCATTTGAGTTTGAGTTTGAGCAAGTAATGCGTGCTTTTTATAGTTTGCCATCACATATGACACCGCCTGATCTAGGCTTCAGCGTTTTAACTAGCAGGGGGTAGTGTCTACGTTCTCTAACATTAGGCCTAGAGAACGAATACTAGCTGTCTACATTCTCTACTGTCTACATTCTCTAATGTTCAGTGCTTCCAAGCGTGGCATGGAATCCCGGTCCAGGAGGGTCTTTTTTTCCTTCCCGTGAGCGTAAAATTACAACCACAAAAAATATAGTAATTAGACTCACAGGCCAAGGAAAGCCAGGCATAAATTGGTAAAAGGAAAAGTATAGGCCTACTTTGTAGGTAAAAGCTCCTCTTAGGACAAGACCAGAATGTGCAGGCTTCATCACTACTTAAAAAACTACAAAGCCACTAGTTATAATTATAGGGGGAAAATTGTTTTTCAGTCGGGAAGAAGAGAAGGGAAAAAACCAAAACCTTCCAGGACCAGAATTCGTTCCCACACTCATAAAGTAATGGTTTGACTTCAACATTGAAAGGTAGATTAAGCTTGATATTTAACGCACAGTGTTTTATTTAGCACTGGCACTAATCACAACACGGCGTCGCAAATAGGCACTTCCTTTCTTCTTTTTCAGTTGAGATCAAATTCTTGATGGCACAGCCAAGAAAATGCAAAAAGCTTCCTGTATGCATTGTGGAACCTCATAATGAAGTAGGTATTAATTCCCACAAGAAAGTTTTACTCTCATTTTGTCAGAGGTGATTAGATCACCCCCAGACTGACAGTCACTGACAGGGGTGAATTCCACATGCTTGTGAAGTTCCCTTGTTTCAGTTTTTCTTCTTTATATACTACAAAATGACAATAAAAAACATTTGATAATATGATAAGAGTTTTGGTAGATGCAGATTATTTGCCGTCTGTGTTTGAAATTCCTGTGAAATGCCCTGATAGAAAGTTGAGACTTCCAGCTTCACTAAAAGACATTGAACTCACAGTGAAGTTGTTCTTTGTATAGCTCTAGGTTATTGATGGTTTTCACAGTTGGTTTAAACACATTTCTGTTATTTTGGTAGTGCATCTTTCATTTAGTTAGGCCTCACTAGCACTAGTGAAAAGATGTTTTTTCCCTGTTTATTTGCCCTGTTTCAGACTTTTAGTTGCTGTGGAAATTTTACTTAGAATAAGATAAAGGGATCTTATAAGCAGGCATGATTGAAGCGTTTGGTCTAAATTGTTTAAAGTTGGATGCAGAACATTTACCGTCAACAAAATTACTTTATTAAAGGGATTTCTGTTTCTGTCTCCAGGTTCTTCCTTTCATCCACAGAGCCATCGCATCACGCCGACTTCCCTTCAACAATGTTCCCATCCTGCATTTTGATTCTCATCCAGATTTACTTCTTCCCATCAACCTCAAAGCAGACATTGTTTTTCAGCCACAGAAATTATATGAGTAAGATGTGACAGAAGGGTGTTATCCCAGACTATTGTAATTTTTGTTCTTGCTCTAAAGAAATATTGTTTATAAGTGCAGAAATCCTCTGAGTTTTTGTAAGAAAATGAAATTTGAATTTGCAACACAGTTGATAGCCTTGTGCACCTGAGCCTACAGCATCTGTGAGCACGAACTTTTGTGCATCGACTACTGGATATATACACTTACCTACTTACTTACTTTCTCCCTATACCGTCAGGTACATGAGGCGGAGAACAATCGACACCACACTTGCCTGCCCCTGTCCTCCAATTGTGGCACCTCCAGGCCGTGGGTGATTGCCTCATCCGTTATTTTTTGTGCCTCTATAACTTCCAGTTGGTCTACCTCTTTTTCTTTTTCCAGTTGACCTCCAGTACCATGTCTGATGGGGCAATCTTATCTTTGGCATGTCTCAAATATCACCATCTTCTCCTTTTCGTGGTCATGTTGATATCTTCCATTCCAACTCTTTCCAACACTTCATTATTTCTAATAAATTGGTTCCTTTTTTTTTAGTTAAATTCTTCATAAACATTTTTTGCAAACTTTAATTTTCGTTGAATTGTTTTGTTTGTTTTCCATATTGGATATACACTGCCCTACATGTTTTTATAAAAAACTGAAATTTAAATAATTTGTATAATTAGTTCAGTATTTTGTCTACTATTAAGTTCTTTGCTGACAAGGCCACAATGTCATTACTCCAGTGGTTCTAAGAGTGTAAATCTAGGGGGTTATTATTATTTTTTTTTGGGGGGGGGGGGTTTATCATTGGTGGATTCATTCATCTAGGTGTTAGCTTGGTATATCCGAATTGATGAGTAGAAAAACCTTTGTTGATGTTTAATATTCTTGTAGGCTCAGTATCACTCAAATTTGTGTTTGTAAATAGCACAGTAGTGCCCCAGCAACAAATTTTGTGGAACTTATTTTTGTAATGCTTTGTTTTCTTTAAAAGCGCTTTATTCAAATTAGCTATACAGTGCCCCTAAAACCTTGATAAACAGGCAAAATGTATGTTTAAAAAAAATTTACGTAAAATTTTCAACACTTTTAAAAAATTGGAAATTCACAAATAATCTCTTCAATGTAAGATTCACGGATTGATTGCTCTGCGAGATTCAAGGGATTCTGATGCAAAAGGCTCACACCGCTGTCACTCTGAAGTTCTTGAGATTTCCTATGGGTAAAGGCTTTTAGGACGTGCTGTATTTTTTTTCACTTCTTAGGAACTTTATTTGTTGAAAAATATATGAGTTCAAAAGTTTTCTGAATGACACAGTTGGGTCATTAATTTGTTTCTAATGAATTTCACAGGTCTTTGAGTATCGAGAACTGGTTACTTCCACTGGCATACGCCAAACATGTAAACCATGTGATATGGGTGAAGCCTCCATGGGCACAGCAGATCCAAAGTTCAGAACAGAACTTTTCAATTGGGAAATGTTCTCAATCTGGAAATGTAAGGTAAAGCTTTCAACTTTCTTTTGTACAATTTGTCAATTGATGTACATGGCCATTAGTATCATAATTATCAAAGATTGACATTGCAACAGTTACCAGTCTTTACAATGTGAACAAAAGTATACATACATTTAAAAAATTAGATTATTACATGTTTTTATATTTTCTTGTACATTCATTGTGTGTCCTTTCTTTTCAGAAAATATGTTTGTGCTCTTGTGTATCATGCAGTCCGATAGCCATGCACATATGTTCAACTTGATTTTTCTTTACTATTCTGCATGTATTATTACTTTACCAGCATCCATGGTTTCTTTATTCTTGCAGGCTGTCTTGTAAGGAAAATTACTTTCTGACTGACGGGTTATTCCAGACTGTTGGAAAACTCACAAATACCACAGACGTGAAGCTTACAGTTGTGGAACTCTTGCCCGAGAAATGGTCACAATTTGATCCAGGGTTGGTCATTTTAAAGCTTCTGAGATACTCAGGGTTTATATAATTGTTTTTTCTTGTTCATAGGTATGAATTTTCACACTCAACTGGATACAAATCACTACCGGTACCCTATAATTACAAAGTTGTATCTGCTCAGTATCTGGTTTTGAAAAATCTGATGTTGAAAATGATAAAGACTCCGAAAAATCTTACAATTTTGATAGAGCAGATAAAACATTTGGTTTCTGACCTTGTTGTCTTAGTAACTTTAAAACGGCCTAAAATATCAGATATAGAACTTTGTAATGCGAAATAATAATTTTTCAAAGCTTGGCTTGTTCTTTGGGGTTCAGGGGACAACATTTTTGCTACTTCGAACTGTTTTTTTTTTTTTAAGTTTCACATGAGAGGGAGTGGAACTAAAGACATAAAAGTGGTACAGACAGAAATGCTTCCTGTACCCCGACAGCAGTGATGTTGCTGTTGACGGGATAGTGAAATAATTGTATTCTCCTGCCTTCTTAGGTTAATATTTTATTTCACTAGTTACATGTACTGTACTTAAAACAGAAAAAAAACTTTGTGAAAAATATTAATGTTGTACTGCATTGTGCAGTATTCCCTGCTCGGCTTAGGTAGGTATTTTATGTTACTTCTAACTGTGGAAAGAACAGAAAAACAAAACCAATATGTAATTGATTTTGATGTTTTACTCCCTTATTTCAGTTATTGTGATACAACAAATACATCAGGGGGTACTATCCCAATACCATCACAGACCGACTGGATTCCTACGCTGTTAGATCAACTGATGGATCAACCCTATATCCTGGACATAGACTTGGATTTCTTCTCCACTGCAAATCCCTTCAAAGACATGTTGAAGCCGGAGGAAGAGCAAGCTTTGACAAGACTGTACCACTATTCATCTCCATCAGATTCTACAAATGATGTATGTGGTAAGAAGAGTTACTGAGATGAAAGATAATTGAAACTGTCTACCACCCATTGTTTGTGATTTTCTTAAGCAGATGGACATCTTGGACAGTGTTATTGTATTGTAAAAAACAAACACAAAGGGGTAAGTGTTCGTTTGTACAGGTGATTGTCTTGGACAGTTTCTGTTTGAGCAGGTTCTACTGTATATTCAGAATGTTGAAATGTCTTTCATATATTATGATACCCGTCTGCTTGGACATTTCAGTAACCCACTTTCAGCACTTTTCAAGGACCCCTGGGCAAGTGTTGAGTTCTTGCATGCTGTCGGCATCGCTGACCATTTATGGCGCCACAGCGCCAGAAGAAAGAGAGAGAGAAAGATATATTATGATGGGCTTTGTGACAAAACCTGTTACAGTCAAACCTGCTTTAACGACAACCTGTCCAGAGCAATCACCTTTACAAATGACTTCTTCTAACTTCCATCCTTTCATTTATTTTCATAATACACTGTCCAAGATGACCGCCTGTTTGTAAGTCTGTTGATGTGTGTGATAAATACTGGCAACTGGTACACTGTGGCCCTCACTCAACACATATGTGCGTTCTTGTGTCTGTTTGTTCGGTTTCTCTATCTTAGAGCTTGTAAAACTTGATTTGCATTACTTGAAGGTTGCTAGTGAAGATCAGAGGACATAACCCTCGAAATTATTTATTTTTTAAAAATAGGGTCGTTTTGACAACTCAGAAATGTACTTCGAAAGACGAATAAAAAAAATAGGATTCAATTTTCTTTTGGATCAACCATTTTCTGTTTAAACGGATTCCACTGTATTGCAATGTTCTCAACATTACAGACTTGTTCATTCTTGTAGTCTAAATGTGGGGGTCTTCTTCTTTTGGTTGTAATTTTTCTTTACCGAATTCATTGCTCTTACTTTAGCAATTAAAAAAACATTCTTCAACCAACTATAGCCTACTATATGTTACACTTCCTGTTCATGTACCAACTTTCTGTACCAACTTCCTAGTGTTGACATTATTTTGTACTTTGTGGAAGTAAAAGTAAATTCTGTTTGCTGTCACTGGCTGAGTCACCCATTCCTGACTTATAATGAAAACGAGACTGCTACGGTCTATTTCTATGATACCGGTACTCCAGGGTGACAAAGGCACCTTATATAACGTCTAAGATTCACAATTTGAAAAGTCACGTGTTTAAGGTGATATGTTTTGGTTTGAATAAGGGGGATGGTTGAACAGTATTGATTTAGACCCTTTCAGGAGGCAAATAATATGTTAATTTTTTTTTTATACGAGGGAAAAGAGGTGAGTGCCATAGACACTCCAGAATGGGATGACTCAGGCATCATCATGTGATGTTCTGTTTTAACTGTGTAAACCCTGCACAAGAGTGACTAAGGCATACTTGCAGTAAGGTAGCCAAACTTACCATTCACGAAATTCTATGGGAGAGACAAATTAAATAATTTTTCCCCTTGTTGAACTCCAATGCTGTATTTTTTACCAGTTGTTTCCTTCTGGGCTGAACAAGAAAGGGATAATGCGCTGCCATAGAACCCTCAGCTTGGACTTGCTCACTTGCTATTTGGAGCTCTCTCTCACATGTAGCTAAAATCCTCAATGTACCTGCTGTTATATTGTGCTGTGAAAAGTTTTGGTCACTTTTTAAAATAGTGTTAAAATGTATATTTATTTAAATTTTCACATTTTTGTATTATTGTAACTATAATAATTGTAAAATGTAACTGGTACTTGTGAAGTAGCAAACTTCAAGAGAGCAGTTTGTAAGCATTACTTTCATTAATGCCCATGATTTTGTCTGATTATTAAGTTATGTTGATTTTTTTGTAAAATTTCTTCTTCAGGGCATCTTATCCTTCACAAAGACTAGACAAAAGCAGCTTGAAAAATTAGAGAGAGTTTTCTCCTCTTTAGAGTCAAAATGGTCCGACTGTGAAAAGGTTCCGTCTTTGAAGGAGTTGGAAGCTATGACACTGACCGAGCTGGTGGGCATGAATCCCATCAACATCAACTGGTGTGATGAAAATGTGTGAGTTCGGCTTTGTTGAGGGGAGGCTGTTGATACTGTTTGTCTTTCATTTCGTTTGCGTAAAGAGAATCACATCAATATGATGATTGTCATGTTGTGTGCAGAAACACAAGACAGGCAGACAGACAGAAAAAATAGAGAGAAAGAAAAGAGATAGGACCTTTCTATGGGGGTCTCCAAGTTTCTACTTCTGCACTTAATTTTCTATGCAACAGTTTCTACTTTGTATGGCTCATTTTTGTGTTGTTGTTGGTATCGATCCAGCAACAGCTGGGCTCTCGCCCTTCTGTCCAATGCCATGTAGTGATAAATGCAGGTTTACTGCAGTTGCTGTAAAGTTCCATAGAGTGTGCTGTCACTGTTAGGTCTCGGAGGGCTCATTTTTGTGTAAAAGTTTACAAAAACGAAATTTTTTACTTTTGTACGTTTATTATTTTTGTACAAGTGTTTCTACTTTACTTGGTTTGATTGTGTGCTGAATTTTACACTTTTATTTATTTAATAATCTTTTCCTCACGGGTTCACTTTGAAAATTCAATCGCATCCGGAGTGGGGCGGGGACTCAAAACACCTCCACTTGTACATCTCCCTTGTCCGGTCCAGGCTTGACTACTGCTGTCAAGTCTACGGATCGGCAAAACCACACATCTTAAAAATGCTAGACCCAATACAAAACCTAGGACTCCGCCTCGCTCTGGGGGCTTTCCGCACTTTTGCGGTGGAGAGCCTCCAGGCCGAGGCCAACATACCACCACTCTCACTCAGACGCACACAACTCTCACTACAATACGCAGTTAAACAGAGCTCAACACCGGCAAATCCAGCGCACAACAGCATTTTTAAAACAAACCCAGAAACCATAAACAAATTCCAAAACAACAAAAAACTCATCAAACCCTTCGGCCTCATAATCCTTGAGGACCTCAAAAACTTACACTTTTCCAAACAAGACATCCAACAATTTCTTTTCCCCGACCTCCCTCCGTGGCACCTCACCAAGGCAAAAGTAGACTTACAGCTGACCACACACAACAAAGAAAGCATATACACCTAAACTTTTAAAGCAGAATACAAAAAAACTAATAGATAAATACCCGGTGCGGAGCTCATCTTCACGGATGGCACCAGAGGAGACTCCATCCTGAAGCCTCCATTTTCTCTGCGGAGGCCACTGCCATTGACATGGCACTGGACTCTGTAGAAAATTCTCCAAACAAATCATTCCTAATCCTTTCTGACTCTCTGTCTTGCATCACTTCACTCACAAACTACACACTCTTACACCCCAAAATAGTTAGGCTACAACAGAAAATTCACACACTATCAGAGACAGGAAAAAACATAATATTCGCATGGATACCTAGCCATGTGGGCATCCGAGGAAACGAGCAGGTAGACGACCTGGCGAAGAAAGCTTCATCCCTTCTGCTGGGATCAACGACAAACACTCTCCCACAGACTGACTTTAGAAATAAAGTCAAAAAGTACACCTCCAGTCTGTGGGAGAGCCACTGGGAAAAATAGAAAAACAATAATAAACTATATGAAATAAAACCCAAACTACAACAGCGAAATCCTGCGGACCTCTCCAGAAGAGACGAAGTCATTTTTACTCGATTGCGCATCGGACACACGGCCCTGACCCACAAATACCTCCTACAGGGAGATGAGAAGCCGTTCTGTGTCGGATGCGACACAGATTTTACCATTAGACACATCTTAACCGAATGTCTAGACTTTGGAGAGATCCGAAGGAAATATTATAAATGCAAGAAATTGCAAGACATTTTTTCCGTCGTTATTTTCAGCAGAATTTTTGGTTTTATGAAGGCATTGGCCTTTATGGCAAATTGTGAAGTGAAACAATATTGTTTAACAAATTTTTTATTGTTATTTATAAGAGTTGTTTTAAATCGCAAATATATTTACACTGTATTTTAGTATTTTAGCATTTTAAAGTCTAATTGTCGACAAACCGTGCAGTGAACTGTTGCGAATGCTACCAACTTGTGATTCGCGCACTCATATGACCTTATACAGTTGCGAGCGCCGTAAAACCCTGTACTACTACTACTACTACTACGGATTCACTTTCGCTCTCAGACAGGATCTGAGACTTCTCACACATGCTGTGATCCTGGAGGGAAAATCTCGAGATATGACCTTCACCAATCTCCACGACTACGGCTGTACCCTCGATGACACAGAACTCCCCCATCACATTAGTACTCCGGAGCAGCTGGAGGTTCTGCATGATGAGTTTTCTCTCTTGATGGAGCGGCTACCTCGGCCTGCCATCGTCACTATAGCAAGGTTTGCTTCTCGTTGGCTCTCGTTTTGTTTTGCATCTCGCTACCCTTAGAATTACAAAATTCTCTCTGACATTCTTTTACCCTTTTGAGTTACCAAGACCATGTCAGAAACCAAATGTTTTATCTGCTCTATCAAAATTATAACATTATTTGGAGTCGTTCTTAAGATATTAAAAAACGACATGTTGTGGAACTCAAATTTTTTTACATCAAATTTCTGAAAACTAGGTACTGAGCAGAAAGATCTTAGTAATTTTACATCTCACTGACTCGAGTCTTGTTTTACATCTCACTGACTCCCATTTTGTTTTAGATCTCACTGACTCTCGTTTTGTTTTACAATCTCACTGTGTGGGTGCTCTAGTGTGCTTTGCTCCTTCTTTCCTATGAAACGCAATCTATCGTCCTGATCTCTCCTCGTTTTTTCGTTTGTAACTCTCTTGTAACATCTCCAATCTTTGGCATTTATATGACCCTATTGTGTTGCTAATGCCGTAAAACTTTTACTAAAACTAAAAACATCTCACTGACTCAGATGTTATGTTCTCACTGACCGGAAGTATGTATTTTTCAAACACATCAGTCAATTTTCATTGTTTCTGAGATATCTGTACCCGAATGTGACTAAATTTTTATAGCTGGCATCGACACAATTTGGATCAGTTTTGTTGTTGGAAATTCTTATATGTGTCACGACACAATGGAATCGGCATGTGAGATTATTGGTATAAAAGTTTAATCATTATAGTTTGTTCATTTGCCATGATTTTGATGACAAAAATACCCAGCTATCTTGCATAGAAGTCCAATTATTTGCGATTGTAGGAGGTGGGGGTTGCCTGGTTTCAGAGGTAAAATTAGCTAGAAAATTGGGGTCAAAGTTTTGTGACTTCTAAAGCTCGAGAGTCCTTTGAAACTAAAACTTAACATTTTTTGTGTCTTTAATCGATGTATTACTGTAAATTCCAAACAGAAATGTGATTTTAAATAGACATAAAAGGTGTTGAGCCAAAAAACAAAAATTCGATAAATATTGCCAAACCAGCAGAAAAATGCTGTTTTCTTCAATTTCATTATTATGGTGAGTGCCTGATTTCACCGCGATGCCTCACATATTGCTTCATATTGTTTTTCAGCAGCTTACTGTGAATAGTTGTTACTGACTGTGTGTGAACCTGAAGTACTTGTCATTTTGACTCATAGAGCGCACCATTACTTTTAAATCAGTGTGCGTGGTGTACTGATTAGGCTCTTTGCCTTTGCCTACAGTAAACTTGAGTTTGATCCCTAAGTTGGGGCATTCTCTGCTGGAACATTGCATCTTATCTAGAATTAGTTGGCCCTGAGAGGCAGGATTGAATCAGATCACTTCCAAAGTGATTTGAATTGTTTAAGTGATCTGAATTGTGTCAATGGAGTATAAACAATGACTTATTATTAGTTATACTTATACCATATTTTGACCTACTGGAAATCCATAATGTAATGTAAGAAGTTTAGTTTGAGGAAAGAGCAAGTTGTACAAACAAAAGTAGCTGGGGGGAAAGTTGAATAAGACTCACTGTTGAACTTCCCCCAAACACCCACCATAGTCTTTCGATAGATTCCCTAAGACAAAGTAGAGAAATCCGAGTTGTATAATTTACCTAAGTTATATCATTTTGAGGCAGGGGAAGGCCCAGAACAACATACTTGGGTAACCTAAACAGGGAAAGATCAGGAAAACGTAACTTTTTTGAAAGCATCCGAGCAAAGGAATGAATGGAGAACTATGATCGCCAATGTCTGTCGCAGATCTGGCACTGGATGATGATGATGATATCATTTGATGTCATTGTTTTACCCCCTGCATTCTTTCCATGAGAAAGTGAACTGTTATTTAAGTTTAAGTATGGACCAGGGGTGGGATGACTTTTAGGATGGCATGTCACTTTAACTTGGGTTTGAATTTTGAAGCATTGTTTCTTTCAAAACTTTTAAAACACTACCAGAGGCATGAACTGTGAGTGTACGGCCACAAGAACATTTAGCTTAGAGTTTTCTGACACTACAAAAGGACGTATTGGCTCATCATGCTGGCAAATGAGATCCCATTTGCAAAAATTGATTATTTTGATTGTAGAATGATAATTTCTGAATGTTTAGTTTCTACCCACTGCTCAAAATTTTGAAGGTGGATGCATTATGCATTTGTGAGGCATTATAGTGAAATCAGGTGCTCGTCAAAATAGTTAAAGGCATTTTTCAGCCAGTTTGGCAATTTTTGTCAAATTTTTGTTTTTCTGCTCAACACCTTTTATGTCCATATATTAACATATTTCCTTGCGAATTTTTCTGAAAAACATTCTTTAAAGGTACAAAATATGTGATTTTTCATATTTCAAGGACTCTCAAGCTATTGAAGTTACCAAACTTTGGCGGCCATTTTCTCGCCAATTTTAGCTGAAACCGGGGGAAATCACCGCCTTCCATCACAAATATCTTGAGTTCTGTTTAAGATAGAAGCATATTTTTTTTAATTGAAAGCTAAACAAATGAATAAGCTTTCAGATGATACCAATAACTCCACATGCCCAAAAATTGACGAGTGCCTGATTCCCCCACATTGTGGACACATTTGGTCTATTGTCCGTACATTACTTGCTGCTAGTACAAACCAAAGAGAGTGATACTGCAAAGATACGACTACAACTGCGTGCAGGGAGAACACTTAACCTACTACACTTCTAATGAAGTTTTTCTGTCTCTAGGTCCAGTGATGATGACTACTGCCCAAAGAATCAAGTGGACCAGTGTCAAACAAAAGTCTTGTCTGTTTTGGAACATCTGTATGGCTCTTTGGACATTACCTCGGAATATTCTTGACCCAATCATGCCTTGCACATGTTCATATGCATGTATATAATGTACATATATTTTTTATACTTTGAAAATGTATCATGTGCTTCAATTGAGCCATTGCAGTGAAATAAAAGAAGAATATGAAATTAGTGTTGTTTGAATTTGTCCTTGTTTTCATGTGTTTTAATTAACAAAGTTCAGGTTATTTAAAGGATACATATATATATTTAAAGTCAACATTTGTTTTTAGAAGGGAATGGTTTTGGTTTAAAAACCTTTCAGCACTGGTTTGTTGAACCAACAATAGCTTGCATCTGATCTCTTAAGACCTTTTGACAATAAGAAGTGATTTCGGTGTGCAGTTCAAAAGAGGCTGACTGGGTGTCATGTATAACTACAGACAAGGTCCATCCTGATAAAGAAGACTTGAATCGGTGCAGCAATGATAATTTATGGACAAACAATTCACTTGGTGCGGAAATAATATGTATGATTTATGTTTAATGCTTTTATCTGCTGTGGGCAATTAATGATTACCCTTGGGCAGCTGTTTGCGGATGGACGGAGAATTTCAGTGGTGGGTCCTGTAGGGCCTACTTCTTTTCTTTCCCTATAGTTTTGACTGTTTTTGTCTGCCATACTCTTTCGGAGCAGTAAATGACTGTTTGCGTGTGAATGTACTTCTCTTTACTCACACAAATAAAAAGGGTGGTTGGCAAATGGTCTGGTGTGGCTTGCTCCTTTTTTTCCTTTCAAATATCCATCGTCCTTATCTCCCCTCCTTCTTTTTGTCTGTTACTTACTTGTAACACCTCTAATAGTCTAATCTTTGGTACTTATACGACCTTATTGTGTTGCAAATGCCCTAAAATGCTTACTAAAACATTAAACAAATAAACAAATAAAAATCAAAGCAGATGATATTTAGTAATGAACATTGTAGATTTATTTTTAACACATATTGTGACTATGCTAGAAGACATCCATTCATTCATGAGTCAGATAGACCTTCATTTGTGGCCACTGGGCAAACTGTCGGACAGATCTTTCTACATGTGTGTAAGATTGATATTGTAAAACAATTGTAAATGCTGCATGCCATACTGAATAAAAATTTCAAAACCTGTAAAATTAAATTTATTTGTCAATTGTCAGAGAACATTTGTAGAGGATAAAGAGACTTTAATTACATTTGTTATTTTGTTACGCACTTACAATTTATGCAGGCATAAAATGATATAACAATGCACGACATTTAAAAACAAGATACTTGCATGTAAACAAAAAATCACTTTGAGACAGAAAAGTGATTCATTTTTCTTGCTGTTTGTAGGACTAGTTTGGGAAAAAGCTCTACACAATAATATGTAGATTTGCATCTTTTATTTGGCACACTTCGGTTTCTACACAAAATGGGTTCTTCAAGTCAGGGGAGTAAGGCCGCCCAGATCCCGTTTCACAATAATAAAAATGATAATGCAACCCGCCCCCCTCCCAAACAGAACGACCTCACCTTTTCTTTATTATTATTATTAGTAAGTTTGTTACCTACCTCACCACCCACAATCATCAATTTAGACCCAAAAAACCCCAATAAAAATATAAAATAACTTGTACAGAGTTCCCAGCATAACTTCTGCACTATACAGATACTCGATACCTAAGAACAGACTGATTCAGCATAACCTCTGCATTGCCTTAGCTTAGCTGCTCTGCGATCCCACTACACCGAGCATGTCATCTCAGAAGAGCGGATGGGTTAGTAATGACGTTTCATCTTTGGCTTGTGAGGAAGTCCGTTTTGTCTTTTTGACAGGGGAGGTAAACTCTCTGTCTTGTTCACGTTTTCTGCCTTTGTAGTTGATAAACGGGCGTCTTTTACTTTTACCAGCGGAATTCTGGACTTTGAACCGATTTTGTGTCTGTTGTTCTGTGTCTTGTCCTGTGCGAATGCTGGGGTTGTAGCTACTTTGTGGGTGCTGTTGTTAATGCAGTCGTGTTCATTTGGCGGTTTTCGCGTAGGGGTTTCATCATATATAGTCTTTGGAGAACTCCCAATGTTAGAATTTCTGGTATGATTTGATTCTGAAGAGGCCACGTCGCGACTAATTTTCTTATTTTCATCACTAGAATTAGTGTAAGTATCAACTTTGTTTTGGCTCCTGGACGAAAGAATTTGATTAGTTCCTTCATCGTCAGACGTGGAGTAGCTGATGCTCTTAAAATTGTGCTCAACGTAACATCTGTCCCTGACTTCAGTAGAAATATTCCCGTTTTCCATACACGCTGACTCTTCTTTTAGACTTTCTGGAGCGTAACAGTCACTATGTTGCTGTTCAGCAGATTCAGTGGCAGGCAATGCAGTGATCATTCTACCTTTAGTGCCTGCCAGTGTTCCCTGCTTCTGTGAATTCGTTGGTGTTTGGTGACGTGCAGACGCTCCCCTGTTGATCAAGGTCATGGTGAGTCTCCCTTTCTGCGGATTGTTGGTCAATCTTCTTGGTCCAGGCGTCCGGCGGAACAGCTGCTCGAGAAAGATCGTTCAGTTTTAATTGTATTGTAATGTTATACGCATCCATTTGTACAATTTAGATAATCAAAGACGCGGGGTGGGTGATTGGTGGATACTCTGGTGTAATTTACTCCTTCTTTCCTAACATCTATCTACCGTGCTTATCTCAAATCCTTTTTCCCAGCGCAAAAGTCTGCTTCGACTATCAATGCACCCCGGAAATAGCGGGTCACAAGAGTGTGACAAACATACAAAAGAAATAGAGGAAAATGACGATACAATGTAGTAAGGATTAGGAAAGAAAAAGCAGTTCTCTGTTGCAGTTCAGGCACAGTTATGAGCATGACATTGCTGAATCAGCCATTTAAAGCTAGAGAGGTGAACAAGGTAAGTCTGATTCCCTGTAAGGACTTCTCTGTTGACATCCACCCCTTGGCTCTCGTATGAACATCCACCCCTTGGCTCTCATATGACCTTATGCAGTTGCGAGCGCCGTAAAAGAAAAACCTCTACTATAATTTATACTATAATAAACAACTTCTTTTTCCTCTCTCGTACCGCCCCTAATCGTCAACACTTGTATGACCTAATTATGTTACAAGCTCTGCCCGTTATACTCTTGACTCTTACTAAAGCTAAACTATGGGAAAGGCGGGGGGTATTCAGATTTTTAAAACTCAGAATCTGCCTGTCAGGGCCAACTTGGCCTGAATGGGATCCACTATTCCTGAAGACAGACCGAACGGTAAGACATGGTTAAGTTGGTACATGCGTAAGTATATACATGTATGTCAAACGTAGTATGTAACGTTACGTTACCGACGTCTGTGGTGTAGCGGTTAAGCGCTTCTCTCTCGCACGTAGAACACGAGTTCGATTCCCGAGTTGGGAGTACATTATTATCGAATATCTCGGTCTTTCTGCTAAGATGTTGTATCCTTGTATCCCTCTCAGCCAGGGCTGATTCTGACAGGCAGAGTCGGTATCCCGCCCAATAAATGATCTCAATTGTGTCTGTCGGGAACCCCCCCCCTCCCCCCGCTGCATTTCTGATCGTCCTGCATGTCGTTAGACCTCACCTTCTCGCCCAACTCTGGGATCTCTGCAGACGAGTAAATTACGGCCTTTGGAGTTGATGGTGACGTCGCTCCCGGGTTTTTTTCGTCTCTCAAACCGTTGGATGAGCTAGGCGTTTCCATCGAGCTGTGATTCGAACTCTGGCTTGGAATGCATTCTCTCTTGTTTGTGTTGTGCTGAGTGGAGAGTGCTGGAGAGTTCCCTTTCTGATGTTCAACCCCAGTAGCTGCACGTTCAGACACTGCTGAGGCGGAAGGTTGCTGATCGATGACAGAGTGGTCGTTGATTTGTGTTACCGGTGTCGTCACGTGATCATTGTTGACCGTTTTCTTGACATCTTCGTGGACTTCTAGAACAGCAAAACTATCTGATGACTCATCTGATGTCAGGGTGAACTTCTCGGCGAGTTTTGTCGGCGGCTTCCTTTTGTCCGGTAGCGTTTCGGGGATATTGGGAGACACCGCCGACATTTTGGGGCAAAAGTGACTGTGGCACTCCGCGACAACGCCAGTAGTGGGTGGTAAAGTCATGTTATTGTCCTGATCGCAAGCTCTGTGACATAGTTTAATGCCTAAACTATTAACAGTGATATTTGTTTTCAATGCCATGATGTTCTCTTCGTTAGTTTCTGGGGCAGCTACCATAACGTCATCTACACGGGACTCAGCGTTTTCCATATTTTCCAACGCATTTGAGTGTTCTCCAAAGTCGTGCATCGATTCAATTTCTGAATATCCGTCCTTTTCAAAGTTCTTGAAGGCTTTTCCACTGAGTGTATTTCTTAAACAGGTTTCGTTCTTTTTGTAATCAGTACCTTCCTCTGTACTCTTGGCACATTCGCCCATGTAGTGCCTTTCAGGTTGCTTGTCGGTGGAGTTCAAAAGACACACGTTATCATCATCTAATTCCTGAGAGTGTTTAGGAAATTCCTCCAAACTATATGTAGACTTCAAACATGACTTCAAACATGTTTTCTTTTCACGTTTTAAAGGTATTTTGCTTTCATGATTCTTGTGAGCATCACTTGGTACGAACCCGAACCGACAGTTACTCAATATTCTCCGATGGTCATCGTCTTCGTGAATGCTCTCTGGATCAGTGAGTTCCCCGTTGGATTTACTAATTGCCCGTTTGTGAATCAGGTCAAGGAACTGCTGGTCCGGTAAACTTGAAGAACTGCTCCCGACACTTCCACAGCTGCCCACTTGGGTAACGTTAGGCAGGCTGGACGGAATGTCTTCTTGAGTTTCATCCAAACCAGAACCACCAGAAAATTCGTCAGTAGAGATTTTGCTGGTGTTGTATGTTTGACTCTCAAAGCAGACGTTTGCTGTCGTATGAACCGACACCACCTGGTCGATGGGAAATTTAAGATGGTCAGTTCTTGAGAGTTCTTCACCTGGCGAAAATGTTGAAGTAGAAGTGCCTGGTTCAAATGCCTCATCTTGCGTTGCTTGTGAACTCTGGACAGAATGTCGATTCGCAAGATCTTGTGAGATATCGTTGTCAGAGACTACTGATATCACTGCTGGCTTTCTTTCAGTTTGGCTATCTTCCTTTCGAGACTCTTCCCTCACTCTTACCTCACAATTGTCAGCTTGATTTTGACAAGTTGGAAACTCAGAGCCAGCACTTGCATGCACCGGTATTATTATTTTCTTTTGATTTACATTATCTTCGACTTGCTGTGTTTGATCGTCCACCCTGACGGGGCTGTGACTGATCCGACTTTCACAACTTTGGTACACTTCTTTTTGGGAGAAGCAGGATTCGCATGGATCTCTCTGGTACTTCACAAGACAGTCTTCGAGTTCCACATACTCCTGAAGAGACTCAGCCTCCGAGAACCGATGTCCTTCTGATGGTGTGGACGCGCTAAACAGTTCACATCTGGCCAGCAAAGACTCTGTCTTGGTGGAGCAGTCCGTTTCAAGTCTGGAGCCCTTCTCACTCGCAGGAAGTTTGACAGCTGTACTTGTCACAAGACCCACCAGAGCATCTTTCTCTTTCGCAGGACTTCGGCCAAGCCCTTGTTTGCAGGGTAGCTTCGCTGAGGCAGTTATCGGAACAGACTGTCTGGCATATGCTATTTTTTTTACATTGTCCTTTGTTTGATCAGCAATTTTATCAGAAGAAACTGTATTTTCTTTATTTGAAGAAACTGTTGTTTTGTGCAGTATTTCTTTGGCTCCATAGTGTTCTCTACCACCAGACTCAGCTTCACTTTCGCACTTTTTGCATTCTTTGATGTCCTTTTTCATTGTTTCTCTGCTCTTCTTCGCTGTCTGACATCTTGGAATCTTTGTGTTTGAAGCAACTCCTTGTGACAGAACTTTCGAACCTTTACCGAAGGATACACAGGGTAGTTTTGAATGTTGTTTACTTTTGCTTTCTGTTTGAGGAGAGTGGTGCCCCGACACTGCAGTCTTTTTATACTTATGTCTGTTGCTTGCACACTCTCCTTCCCCCTCGGCAGCAACTGAGTCTGACTGAGCAGAAATCTCTAACGTGAGTACGCCATCAGTATTAACAATGTTGATGTTATTGGAAGCTGTCATTAAGCAATTGTTAAGCCTTTCATTTTTCATCTTGCAACTTTTAAAGGAAATCTGTGCAAGTTCCCTGGTCCTGCGGTTTTGTCTATCGACGGTAGAAGCGATAACAATGCTCTGAATGTTGTTCAGTTGTATGTACTCACACTGAGTGGACGGGTTCGTGGAAGACTGTGACTGAAATTTTCGAATTGGTATTCGACAATTCTTTGCCGTTTTAAGCGTTTCTTTTAGAGACCTGATTTTATTAGGCTTTATTTTCTTCTCTTCTGCCTGACCACCGTTGCCGATAGGAGAAGGAGTTGCGGCTTTACTAAGCAAGTCTGATTTGTTGCCATGTGAGCGAAGACCGGTACATTTGGAATGAGCCAAACTTGTTCCTGAGCCCTTAGAGTTGTTCCCGTTTTCATCCTGCAGAACTTGCTTCTCTGTGAGCAGGTTTTTAAAATATTGTGTTTCATCGGGGGTTTTGTTTGAATCACTAGTAGAGTCCTGCTGCAGTTGCTGTGGTGATGTTCGGGAAGTAGGCGTGGTAGCTTGACCTGCGGTAGTGGTGTACTTAGCACTTTTGTTTTTTACATAATCAGTCTGGACACATTGTGTTGACCTATCTGAGCCATAACGGGGCGTTGTTTCTGAAATATTGGAATATTGGCTGGGTAAGGTCTTATCTGATTTAATGGCACGACTCGTTTCAGAACGAGAATCGTTCCGACTGAGGATTTGTTCAATTCCGGCTCTTGCTTCAGCTACCAATGTTTTGTAGTTTTTCCTGCTTGTCTTTTTAAATCCAAACTCACCAGAGATGTTTTCATATAGGTTACGTGCACCTGTCTTTGTGTTTTCAATGGTCATTTTGTCTTGATTCTTTGTCTGCTTTGCCATGATGCACAGACCAGCTTGTTTAGGTTGTTTTGCGTCCATAAACCTAGCCAATTTTCGAGGAAGAACCGACGTGATTTCTTTCCTTTGATGCTCATAGTTTCCACCAGGGGGCTCAGACTTTATTACAGATACCGGTACCTCTAAAATTTGCTCCGGGGTTAAGGAGGTAGTAGACGCCTGAATGTTATACATTTTTGTTGATGCAACGTCGAACAGATGTGACGGTGCACAAGAACCGTCTGGATACCCCTCAGTCTTATTCAGTACTAGCAGGTTTGACTTTTTAAGATTTGCATTTTGTTCAAACAAGCAGTGTAACACAGGAGATACTCCCATTGCGCTAACATGAAGTTCTGTTTCGAGGCACCGTGCACAGATATCAGCACATTCGAATTTCAAATCAGTCTGTAACGTACCGATGGATGGAGAATCGTTCTCGGAACAAATGCTGCTTCCATGTTTGACTAGTCCCACACAAACGTCATCTCCTTTGTGGGAGTTTTGGTTTATGTTATTGGCCGACGCTCCTCCTTCTGTATCTCCAGTATCTTCTTTAGGGGACGTCACGGCCAGTTGTAGGTCCCGAGGACTTCCGAGGAAAATATCTTGTGTGAAACTGTCATTGGGGACGAGGTTTGTATCTCTTACATTGTTTGTGCAAGAGTCGCCACTGGCATTGTTTGATTTATTCATTGACTCTTCACTACTAAATTTTGTCCGTGTGTTTTCTTCAGCAGAGTATCGTTTTCTGGGCTGGAATTCGGGGCAGGTCAAGGGTTGCCTTTCACCTTTACTGAAATATTTCTTTTTGCTTGTGTCCTTTTGCTGTTTATTACTGTAAGCATTCGCTTGCACCGCTTCCTGAAGAGATGGCCTCCCCTTTGCACGCACCGGAATTTTGGTGACTGTGATACAACTGTCGAACGGCACGTTTGGAGTAAAGTCTTTTTCAGTGACATGCTCAGTGATTTGTGCTCCTTGGGCATCACTTGACAATACAAAGCCATCCTTTCCTTTATGATGGGATCCCTGACGACTATTGTAAGGTATCTTTGACGTAGAGGAAGACTGGGAGGATAAGTTTTTCGTCATATTGGTGCTCTGTTTGGTACGTCGTGGGTTCCCAACAACGCCAGCTCTTTCACTACGTGTTGTGGACACAAGCATCTTATTGAGCGTCTCTATTCGGGAGTTAATACTCTGTCTCAAGGATCTGCTTGCTGTTTTGAAACTTCCACCGTTTGTGTAAGATTGGAGATTTTTTCTTTCTTGAAACAATTCAAATTTTGCTCGTATACGATCCCAATGATCGCTGTCCTCCTCTTTCCCTTGGTTTTGTTTACTTGGCAACTCCAACAAATGTCCAATGGCAACTCCCTCTTCAGATGATTTCGATTGACTTTCTCTTGGCGATACTCCTGCGATATCACTGGTACCTTGTTGTCTCTGGTCTGGACTCTCTGATAGACTACAAGCAGATCCACATTTGGAAGCATTTGGTGTGTTATCAGGAACGGTCTGGTTAGTACACAGGGGCGTGTCCAGTGGCAAAAATTGCTCATCCGAGTTTGGTCTCAAAAGGCTTTGGTCGCTGAACAGCTGGCGCTCTTGTGCGGGAGACCCACTGTTTTCAATTAGCTCTTTCTTCAAACAGCAGCTTGATTGGTGGGGGGAACTTATAGTGTGATCACCTTGTTGATTAAACTCCTCAATATTTTCTTTGTAACCATGAATATAAGGCATATTTACGCTCTCACCAACATCAACTCTTTTTCTTTCAATGCTGCCCATATTAGAATCAAAATGAGTTCTATGCTCTTTTGTTTCTTTTTCATGTTTTTCATCGCACCACACAGGCGTAGCACAACTGTGAGGGCTTTTTGTTTTGTCCGTATATTTATTTTTGCTTTTCCTGTCACAGTTTGAGTAATTGTGGTTATCACCATTTGAACATGAATCATTTTCGGAGTCTTTGGACTCATATTTATATTGGACACAATCTCCGTTCCTATCATTTTTAAGTTCTTTCTCAAAGGATTCTTTACATGATCGGAAATTGTTCTCATTGTGTGACTTAATGATCTGTCCGTGTTCAGTACTGTATTGTGGGGGATCATCTAAAGGAATTGGTGTGGGTGAATTATTGTCATCACTGGAGTATTCTAAATGCTCTCGTTCAGCAGTCAAAGCTTGACCATTATTCCGTCGTTCGCAGTTTAGTGGAACCTCCGAGGTTTCATGATAAGTACACGGAGACTGTCTAATCGATGGCCGAGGTACAGGCGGACTCCCGAGTATCTCTGTTACCGCTCGACTCGCAGCCTTATTGTATAACTGTGTCAGAGCAAGAGAAGTTTCAATTTGACCGTTTGTTATCGCCTGTTGTTCTCGAAGAAGGCGTGCATCTGATTTGATTGTCTCTCCGGAGACTCTGCCAGAATTGTCAGCAGTTAGGTGGGTCGTGTTCGAACGAGAATGTATTTCTTGTGGTTTTTCGGTACTCATTTTTGGGGGGTTTTGGCACGAGTCTGTCACTATTTGTGAACAGTTCAGGCTATCGTTTGAAGAAACCTTGCATATCTGACGTAAAGGCGAATTTACTTCGACCTCATAGTCATAGTGGTGTTTCTGCCTGCAGTAGAGATTATGGTCTGAGATTGTCATGGGATAGACAGGCAGACGAGGGCTCGGGCTGGACTTTGATACATTTGAACCCATGTCTTTGGGTGGTGTTTTGACTGTAGAACGCGAAGGTGTCTCCTTTGTGTTCTCCTTTTTGGCATTTGAGACACGCGGCTTGTTGTTCCTATGCTCTAGATTTGAGGAATTTTGACCTCTACAGCTGTGGAGCGGGCTATATCTGTTTTCTCCACCACCAGAAGAGTTACCTATACCCATAGGTGAAACTCTGATTTTGGTGGTAATATCAGTCTCTACTTCTCCCAAGTTTTCTGTGTCTTTACTTTCTGTCGTAATGAGAAGTGATAGATCACCTGGAACATCTTCATCAGATTTACTTGGTAGACTTTGAACAGTTGCATCCATGGAGTCGTGTTCGTTTGCGTCTTTACCGTGAATCAATCCCGACACCCTCGAGTCGTTGGAACCCCATTTGTCTACTTTTGTCGATCCAGCTTGATTTGTTTGATGGCAATTCGAATATTGTTTGGTCACTAGAGGCAACTTATCTCCAGTACGATGCTCTTGTTTGTTTTCGTCCTTGCTGGATACGTTAAACTCTTCTTGGTCTGATGTTTTTACAGACCGAGACATCTTCTGTTTGGAACAAGCGCTATCTTCCTCTGTGGATTTTTCAATTTTTACCCCAGTTTCAAACTGTGTTTTGTCTGAAAATGATGGCGGCTCTGTAAGTTTTTGTTTCATAAGACGTACTTCTATCACTGGTTCCATGTCTTGTAGATTGTCGGATGGGCTGGATGCTATTGATTTTGGTTCTGTGGGTATCACCATATCAATTTCGGAATCAGGTTCTGTACATTCATAGCTATGAGACTGTCTATATACCTCCATATCGGCATTGTCGAGTAGTACAGAATTTTGCCTCAACATGCTACACATAAGGTTAGCGTAACAGGTACGTACCATTGAGTTGGGGGAGAGACGGCCTGTGTGTCTAGTATCTTCTTGAGTTTTCTCTTTCACATAATCGCTGTCTCCAGGGATCTCTTCTTCATCTTCTGTTGAGCTCTCAGACTGACTACTGTCACTTAAGCTGGCGCCGCTGTAACGAGATTCGTGGCCCTCAGCTTGATTTGCTTGATTTATGACGTCACCTTGACCCGAAAGTGCTGCAGCTGTGCGTTTTATTTCATGTTTTGGGTCATCAGTAGTGGAATGTATCTCTTTCTTAGATTTTACTTGGTCATTTTGAACATCTACATTCACCGATTTGCCCATTTGAGAATACCTGTTACTTCCTGACACATCCCCACATTCGTGTAAGTCGACTATGTCTTCATCAGCAGTGGCTGCCTCAAAGACGTGGTTTTCCCCGTCTTCATAACTCCCATAACACTCCATATCCAACAGCTCGTTCCCACAGTGAAAGTCTGAACTCAAGAAATCCAGAGCCACTCTAGCTGGGTATAGCCTGGTAAACATGTCTGGAGATATAAGCAGATGTCTATTACCACTGTCTTTGTTGTCCAGAAATGAACTGCCGCTTTCTTCATTGTTTGTCGCTGGGCATCCAAGGGCTTTAAACGTTGTTTGCTCTCTGGGGCTACTTCTGATGAAACGTTTTCTACGATTCATGAACTTTTTCATGTTAGGAATACAAGGGATATCCTTATCTGAAAAGTTTCCTTTGCCACTGCCTTCGTCAGATGAAGAAAGATAGCAGTCACAGTTTTTCCTTCTTTGCTTGTCCCCTCCAGGAGAACTGCACAATACATCACAACTTGCTTTCTCTTTTTCATTGTAATTTTCGATAAAACTTTCCTCGTTTTCGCTCTTGGCCACTGGCTGATGTCGTGGCACTATCAAGCCGTTTGCGGAGATCGTATAGCCCCTCTTCTCGTACCACTCTCGCCTCTCACTGTCTGTTAAGAAGGACTTCTGCGACTCTCGGAGTCTATTTGAGAGGGACTGCATGTGTTTGGAATCCTGCTCTGCCGCTAATGAAGGGACTGTAGCAGTGTGCGCTTGTTCTTTGTGTTTGCTTGTGACGCGGCCTTCTTTTGTGGCCAGACTCGCGGTAGACACCGCCACCCCTGTACCACCTTTGCGACCACGGTTTGACGGAAGGGTTCTCTGACCCAATCCTGCACGAGAATTTTTTACCCTGTTCATCTTTTCGTTAAAAGAGCTGTTCTCCCATATGGGGTAAGGGTCGGACTCAGCACTTGATCTTTCGCTATTCGTGTCATGATAATGCTCTCCCAATTGACGACAAGACCTGATATCACCTATGTCATTCTGTGTCTCTGAGGGTAGAATACTGTCTTTGCTCATTTTGAGTCAGCCACA